GACTCGAATCCGTCGGGCGCGTGTAAAGTCGTCATTGTCGGTTTGCGGCTCGATTCGCCTTTATGCCGACTCGGGGGAGCTCCGACGTAGATAAAAGCCTCGGGGCACGTGCCACGCGACGATGCGTCGCGTGTCCCCGACGTCGGTGCCACAGCTCCGATTAAAACGGGCCCGCGTCCCAGATCTTATCCCGAGAACGGTTCTTCGACGATGGGCGCGAGAGCCAGCGAACAACCCATTCCCTCCCACGGCAATTAAACGTCACGGACCGAAGCGGTAACAGCCCCCTCCGCACCATCCACTTTATCCCGACTTTTTGCGGGAGCCGAGAAAAAGCAGTCGTAAATAGAGGGAGGAACGGGCGCTTTTTATGAGCTTCAGCGCGCGACGCCGCCGCCTTACGCGAGGAGCCGCCGCTGCCGAGGTGGCGGTGATTTCAGATGAGTAGCGTGATTAATATTACGAGAGTTTGCGTAACTCGTAAAGTTAGGCATTCTCCCGGCAGTCGGCTATTTAGCAGCGGAGCTTAGTGGCCGGGGGAGGGGGGGGGTGTGGGAATAGGGGGGGGGGAGTGATGGTACTTAGTTCGGCCGTTATTTAGCCGGCGCGGACTAGCGGCCGAAGAAAAAAGTTGAATCGCACCCCGGCACTAAGCACCTCGGGCCGACATCGAGGAGTGACAGCCGTAGGGGCGGAGAGGAAGGGTATAATATATTCACGGGGCAATATCGACGCCCCGAGAAATTTATCGAGCCCGGCCGAGGCGTTAATACCTGCTTTCGCGCGGGGCTTTAAATCAATGAAAAATATCCTAATTGGAATATGAAAAAAGTTGGCAGTCGCGCGCGAAGTCGGGCGAGGGGTTGCGACTACTGGGTGGGCAGCCGAGGGGTTCCGAGAGCGACGACTGCGACGAAGGCGGCGGCGGCGGCGGCGGCGGCGGCGGCGGCGGCGGCGGCGGTGGCGGCGGCGACGGCGGCCGCCCTTTCCTCGACGGCACATAAAAAGCCGGAAATTAAATTATCTCGGAGACTGCTGGTATTGCGCGAGAGAGTCGTAAGCGAAGGCCGAGGAGTGTATTTGGGGAGTACTCGCGAGCGTCGATACAAAGGCTGCGTGTACCAGTGTTCGCTTGCTGCAGTTTATCCGCGGTGTTCGATCCCATCCGATAGACAGCGACGTTTTTACGAGTGACGAGGGCGGGAGCGGACAGGATTTAGTGGCGCGGAGCCGTAGCCGTAGCCGTAGGTGGCGCGTATTTGGGCGTTCGGGCACTTTATGTGGAAAAATTCGAGGACGCGTCGCGAGTCCTCACCCCATCCCCCCACCACCCTTCGCGTATTGTAGAAGCGAGACGGGCGACACGGGGTTGATTTATCGCGAGCGTCCCGCCCGAGTGCCGCTGTAGGTGGTGGTGGCGATGGTGGCGACGGCGGCGACGGCGACGGCGATGATGACGGGAGGACCGGAGGGGGTGGGGTGTGGAACGATACCGGGATATCGGAAGGTGACGGACTACGATGATGGGTATAGGTGGGATGGGGGATTATGATAGGGTGAGGGGGGAGGGGGGAAGTCGAGGGAGAGGGGGGATAGGCAGGAGCACCTAAGGAGAGTCGAAAAAGAAGTGCAAAGGGGGAGCGGAAAATCTGGATATGGATGCGACAGTCAGGGATTTGCCTCCCGCGTAAACTTAATCATAACAGCCTGTTAGCTAAATGTATAGTAGTAGGAGCGAGTGCGAGTAAAGATGGGGTCAGGACGCGGCCACTCCTCCTCCACCTATAGCTCAAATTGTTTCTCCCTTCTCTCTGCGGCGCGTTCGATCATTTCCCCCACTTGCAGCTCTTTGCCGGCAACGGAGCCCACACCCCAGCTTGCAGAAGACCCTTTATTAAATTAATCTACTGTTTAGTAAATTGATGCCGTGTCGAGCTTTCGAGTATAGTCGTTAGCAAACAGACCGACCGAGCACATTACAAAATTAACGATCGCCGTACCGACACTTTTCGCTCCTGAATACCGACTTCTTCTTATCCGGCTCATTCCCTCGTTTCCATTCTCCGTCTCTTCTCTTCCACATCCTTTAATTATTCATTTTATTATCATTATGATTATTATTATTATTACTACTACTGCTACTACTACTACTACTACTACTACTAATGCTACTACTACTACTACTGCTGCTACTACTACTACTACTATTACTAATGCTACTACTACTACTACTACTACTACTACTACTACTACTACTACTACTATTGCCATTGCATCAAAATGTTGTCGTTGTCGTTATTGTCGTTGTCGTTCTTTTAATTACAATGACTACATTTATATTCTCGAAGCAAGTGCGTTCTCTATCAATGTTTCGCAAACTTTATAATTCATATCTTTCAATTAATTTTCCAACTTACGTCATTCGGCAGCAATTTGGATTTTCAAGCCCCTACATTAACTTATATTTTCACTATTCAGAAAAAATTAATTACCGGGCTATTAATAACACTTGTTGACAATCGAATACTTGCAACGATTTAATAATTGCATCAAAAATATTGTCCATTTTTTATTTAACTATAATTATTTGTCGTGTAACTCTATCCAAAAGCATTATATAATATCTGCATTTCATTTCATTTATTTAGAAAGTATATTGTACTTACATGTTTATTGGTGTCGGTATCGGTTCCACTGCAGTATACATTGAAAGTGCGATGTTAAATGAAAATAAGTAAATAAAATAAATGTACAATTAAACAAATTATACACATATTAAAAATAATAAAAATTCAAAATAATTTTTATAATGAATCTATCATTGTTTTTCTTTTGATATTTAATAAAATACTCTGTATTTTTTATTTAAAATATTATTTCATTTATATATATATATATATATATATATATATATATATATATGTGTGTGTGTGTGTGTGCGTAAGCGTTTAAGATAATAATTCTTTAATAAATGTTGAAAAAATACATAATTAAAAATAAAATGAGTCGAAAATTAATTATCCACAATTAGATATTATTTAGGCTTGGTAAGATAAAAACATCTGTTTAACTAATCTTAATTGACAGGCAATTTATATGAAACAAATATTAATAGTAATTGGTAAAATAACAAATGGTTGAAGACATTTCCCTATTAAATAAAAATATTCTTAAAAAGTGTTTTTATTTCATGGGAAAGCTAATGAAAAAAATTTGCTAAAAGTAAAGTATATAAAAATGATGGTTGAATTTTTTTTAAATAATACGGGTGAGAAATGGTGGAGATAGGAGGGAAGGAGAGAGAGAGAGAGAGAGAGAGAGAGAGAGAGAGAGAGAGAGAGAAGAAGAAAAAGAGATTGGATGAATAGGCTTTGTCCGCAGCTGATTAGGGCTAAGCTTAGTCGCAAAGTAGCCTCGAGGAGGCCCCTTCGGATATTTCCAATCCAGGGAAGATTTAATCAAGAGACGCGCAGTGAGAAATCAATCGAGCATGAGAACCATAGCTTTTCAGGACTCGGCGAAAAAGTCATTGTGGCAGAAAACTCGGCGAGAGCGGGGAGCCCGGGGTGGGGAGGGACTGAAGGATAGAGAGGAGTCGAGATCAGGAAAAAGAGCAAAGTGGAAAGAAGCTGGTGATATAGAACGGGGGCAAGCGAGCGCTCCTAATGGACCAGGGGTGGAAAACATTAGAATGAGTGCATATCAGCTGTCTATTGTAATTGTGTTGACCATTTATTCGAATTCTTCGAGATATAGTACACAAGCTGCAGTTAACACGTATGTATAATTTTTACAATATTTTTATACAAGAGCGAGACCCCATTCGTGTGCTCGTATATGCGCATTCTATGTATCTGTACAGCGATTACAAATTACTTCTTCTGCCTTCTTCTCTATTTTTCGTCTTTATGTACTTTTTTCATCGTTTTGTCTTTATAAGGATGAGTTCTCGACGGGGAACATAAAAGGTGCGTGCTTTTTGTTGTACAGAAGGCGCGATAAAGTCTGTAACATCAGGGGCTTAGCCAATAGTCTGCAAGTATCATTACGGTACATGAAAATCTCGCCGTTCATCGCTATACTTTTTTACCATTTTTACCATTTTTACCATTTTTACCATTTTTACCTTTTTTACCTTATTTACGTTTTTTAAGTTTTTTACGTTCTTTCTCCTTTCGCCTCATCACATTCGTACAATATAATATAGTCCACGCATTCTTTAATTTTATTCTTTGAGTACGTATACGAGCCGTAAATAAATTAACAATGGAAATTGCAACGGAAAATGCCTTTTCCTGTAGGGTTATTTTTTTCGAGGTCTAACTCCCTCGGCCCGTCGCGAATAAATACATCAACATTCCATTCTAAAGACTAAGTGTCGCTGCCTCTTGGATAAATAAAAGTCGATTATTATCGAAAACAAGAGTCAGTTTGATCGTATTAAACTTCCTTGACACATATTGAATATTCTGTTGGGTTATTGGCAAGAGGTGAATTTATCTTTATCATAGGATGAGATAAATGATTAGGCGAGTCGATGATACGAAGTACTCGCGCGCATGCATGCTTATGTATATGATTGTGCGCCTGTCTGTGCGAATGTGAGCGAATGCGTGCGCGTGTACGCGTAATAGAGATAGATATGACATGTTGAGAGAGAGAGAGAGAGA